TATTATTTAGAGTGTACAAATATAGAAGAATGTCTGAAATGTAATTCACCAAAAATAAAACAATCAGTAATGAGTATCTCGTTTATACTAGGCAATTTGCTAAACAAGTATTTTATTCTAAATGTAATTATGCATTTGATAATATCCTATTTTATAAACAAGGACACTGAAGGTTAGCAAGAGTAAATAACTTCCTCTCCTTGACATTTTCTCAGAAGATCTAAAATTAGTGTACAACACCAACACAGCCACATCAGAGTTTATAGCAGCACAATTCACAATAACTATATTATGCAATCAACCCAGATGCTTATCAATAAATGAATATATAAAGAAATTGTGGCGTGTGTGTGTGTGTGTGTGTGTGTGTGTGTATGCAATTGAGTTCTACTTTAGCCATAAAAAAGGAGAGTGTGGCATTTGCTGGTGAATGGATGGAAATAGAGAATATCATGCTAAATGAAATTAGTAAAAGTCAGAATCTCAAAGGTTAAATTTTTTCTCTCATATGCAGAAGCTGGAGTCAAATAAAGGATGGAGGTTAGGGGAAGGGTAGAATAAAATAAAGAGCCAATCAACTACAAATTAATAGACAAGCAAAAGGAAGTCTAGTAGAGGAAGGAGAGGGGAGGGAGAGCTGGAGGGAAAGGAGGAGGTCATGAACTGAAGCCAGTGTCCATGCCTGTAGGAGCTGGTGGAAATGAACCCAATATTGTGTATGACTGTAAAGCTCATTAGGGCTTTATAAACATAATAATGACAAAATAATATAAAATAATAATAATAAAGCATAAAAAAGAACCTAAAATATTTTTTAAAAAAGAATAAATACCTTGTCCGAGATCTTGTAGATATGAATGAGGAAAGCAGAAATGGAATCAATGAGTTTGGCCCCAAATCCCTGAAGGACCCTGCTGGACTCTGAGAAGCAGAATGGGGGAGGTGTCCCCTGAGAAGTCAGCTGTGGGTCAGGTTGTGGGTCTGGATATTGGTGCAGTGGGGGCACTTGAAGGAGCGACTTTTTCCCTCCTCCCACTGTGAAGAGAGTTGGCAGGACCCAGGGAAGTCTACTATGGGAACCTCCGGGAAAATGAACTTTCAGTTTTGGTTGTGATATGAAAGGCTTTTAGCCATATAAAAATGAGATGTTTTCACAYGAAAGTCTTTAACTCCAGATATTTAAATGGTGAATTTTTTACCTCACTGTCTTTCCTCTGTGTTCATTTTAATTCTTGTACAAATTGGCCATCATAATCAGAATAAGTCTGAAAAGAAAGGAGTCACTACTAAAGAGAAAAATGTGTTTTGTCCTCCTTTCAGAGACTGTTAGATTTTGGTGACTCCTTGAATCAAGTATTTGCTGAATGAGTGGGTGAGTGAATTTGGAAGATTAGGTGTGCATTCCTGAAACATACACTGTTAAAGTGAAGTTCCTGAAATTATTCCAGTAAAAGCAATGTATAGAAAGAAAAATATAGAATTACACATGTGTAGAAAGCATGTAAAAGTCATCCTACAGAAGGGAACTCTCATACATTGTAAGTGATAAAGTAAATTAGTGTAGCCATTACCAAAAACAGTATGGGAGATTCCTCAAWAAACTAGAACTATGATGTGATTCAGCAATTCCACCAGTGGAAAGGAAGTCCATATGTTCAACAGATAACCTGCACTCTTGTGTTTTCTCAATAGCAACCTAGGTGCCTATCAGCAAATGRATGGATAAAAATAATGTGGTTTATGTACCAAACAGAATATTATCCTGCTATGAAGAGAACGAGGCAATGTGGATAAGCTTGGGGACATGATATTAAGTGAAATAAGGCAGGCATACAAACACGTATACCATGTGTGCTCACTGACATGGGAAGCTATGAAGTTGATGTCAGAGATGTCAAGGGTAGCATAGTGGCAGGAAGTATATGGCGGGTTGAGAAAGGATGGTTAATAGGTATGGAGAAGTTGGACAGTAAGGACAACTTCTACTGTTCTGTAGCACGTTAGGATAATTATGGTTGACAACAATAAATTATGTATTTCAAATGACCTAGTAGAGAATATTTTGAAGTTTTCTAACACAAAAGAAATGATAAATATCTGAAGTGATAGACATGTTAATTAACCTTATCCAGTCATTACCATATTGTTGTCAGGGATTGAAATATCATACTACTTTTCTGTTGCTGTAACAAAATACCCAAGGCTGAGTAATTTATAAAGAAAATAAGTTTATGTAGCTTGTAGTTCTGCTTGGCTCTGGCCAGGGCCTCACAATGGATGGTATTAGACTGGTGGGTGTGTGTGCAAATGAGAGTGATTTCATGGCAAGACAGGAAGGCAGAGCATAGAGAGAAGCCATATTGCTCTTTTAGAGCAACYCCTTGCAGGAACTAACCAGAGCTACACAAGAGCTACACTCATTCCTTCTGGGTAAACACTCCCTGGTGACATAGTCATCCCACACTAGACCCCATCTCTTAAAGGTTTCACCACCTCAGAACATCATTACACTGAGGATCAAGCTTCCAATATGTGTACCCAAACCATATGCAAACAAAGCATGCCAAACTTCATAAATATGTATAATCATTTTGTCATTTAGTAATTATTTATAATCAGCCATAGAGCAGGCCATTTGAGGCCATATCTTGGAGGAACTTTCAAAAAGTAACCCCAGGAAGGGGAAACTTAGGAAATGTTGGTGATTTTATTTTCCTTTGATTTTGCTCTTTATTTCTTAAACAAGAAAGATCAGGTATGCATAGAAAAACTTACTTGGTATTGTGAAAATTTACTTTCTAGACATTTTTATTTAGTTTCCCTTCCTCTGAGTTAGTCTGTTGATACCATTTTTWAAAAGTACAATGTTAGGGGCTGGGGATGTGACTCAAGCGGTAGCGTGCTCACCTGGCATACGTGCCGTGCAGCCCGGGTTCGATCCTTAGCACCACATACAAACAAAGATGTTGTGTCCGCCAAAAACTAAAAAATAAATATTAAAAATTCTCTCTCTCTCTCTCTAAAAAAAAACGTACAATGTTACACATGTAAGCAGTTAGGTAGTTTCTAGGTAATACAAGTCCAATATTTTTCCCTCTTAATATTCTGCAGAGTACAAGGAGTTATTCTGTGAGCCACTGAATACATGTTTGCCTCTAAAATAGTTTACCAGTGATAGTAGTAACACTTTGTTGGTCAAGATTTTACTATAGGGAAAGAAGCCTATTGGGGCAGGGTGAACTGAAGAATGAAAACTTTGGACTGTCTGGCTACCAGATTTTCATATTCAGACYAGAGAAGGGATAAAATAAACATTTCAGAGAGTATGTTTTATTTTCTTTCTCTCCTTCCCTTTCTTCTTCTCTCTCTGTCCTCCCTCCCACTCTCCCTTCTTTCCTGTCTTCTATTTCTATCTCCACACCCTCCCCCCTTTTTTTTTTGCAGTGCTGGTGTTTGAACCCAGAGCCTTATGCATGCTAAGCACAGGCTCTACCACAGACTGTACTCTACTCCTCTAATATATTTTCTGTGTGTTGCCTTTAGACTTACCCTCTTCTAGACCCCACCCCTAAATTTTCTTTAGCACTAGCAGTTGCATTTATCTTGACAAACACAAGTTTTTCATGAATCTATCCTTTTCTTATGCTGGGGCATAGCTTATCTTTTTWAAAAGTTCCATTTTTATTCAGCCTTAGCCTTCCATTCCTGAATGCCATCAGAATTTCCTCTGGACTGATTTATCCTATGTTCCTTGTTTGCTATTGTTTGCTAGCAAACTTGGATCTCTTCTGTTTGCCTCCTTTGTTTCTCTACATGATATAAGGTCTAATTACCACCCAGCATGAAGTAGCAGCTAAGATGAAAAAGGCAGCAAGAGCAGGCAGCAGCTTCACTGAGAGCTAATCAGCTGCCCCTCCTTGTGTATTCAGCTGAAGGAGGAAGGGAAGCAGCATTCACCAGAGTGACTCATATTTTAAATGGTTTTTTTTTTTTTTCCTTTCTTGATTTGAGACTGAAAAGGGGGATTTGTTCAAATTGTTATGGAAGCAAAACACTGGACAATACTTTTAATTTGCAATTAGTAGTCTTTGATGCTTCCTTGGATTGCACAGAGTATTTTTTATCATCAGGATTRCTCAAAGTAGTCCCATCCTATTATCCTGGCATTTAAATGCAGATACAACAAACATTTCCAGGAATAAAAAGAAAATCAAGTGGATAATTAATCATTTTTAATAAGGCTTAGAATTTTACTCAATTTTGAGCTTTTGGTTTCCAAATTTGCCTAAAACTATCTCTAGGTTTATGTACAAAGCATATGGCATCTTACTACAGTAGCTTCTTGGCTTTTTGTTTTGTGGGATGGATGAGTTGGATAATTAACCTTGTGTATGTGGGGAGGGAGTTGATAGTATTTTAAATTTTTAAATGACTGTGATTTGAATTTCCCTTTATTAGATTGTCAAAGATTAAAAATTAGRAAATATGTGATATTAGGTTCATGTGAAGAGACATAATATTTGCTTTTTGGGGAATATATTTTGGTCTGACAATTCTAGAAGGACAATGTCTATCAAAACTGAAAGTACGTATACCTATGACCTAACAGTGCCACCTCTAGGAATCTACCCTTGAACATCCTGTAAGACACATGTATAAAATGTTCCTTATGGTATTATTTTTATGTAAATATATAATGCAAAAATGGTCATTAATAGATTAATAAATAAAGTAGGATATTTCTCCTCTCTTTGTCCCCCATATAAACACACATGCACACACCCATACACTTACAGATTGGTGAGTGAAAAGACTTTACAAAAAAGCGCTGTTAGCTCTTAACTCTGGAGGATAGGATTGCAGGTCTCAGGTAAAAGGGTGGATTTGGGGGTGCAGTGATTTTGTGCTTTTTAAAGTTTTTTACCCTGTGTATATGGTGTTTTTCATAATTGAAAATAAATTTTATGTTAATAACCAAATGTGGGTTTTTCCCCTCTTAGGACTCAGCCCAGGAGAGTGTTATTACTCGAGATATTCATCGTACTTTTCCTGCTCACGATTACTTCAAGGACACAGGAGGAGATGGTCAGGAATCGCTCTACAAGATCTGCAAGGTAGGGCTCTCCCCTCTGTTTTTTTCTAGAATGTTGTACAGGGCTGTTTTAGGAGCCTATTTYAATTAAACCTTTTAAGTTTTCCCCTATTTTTGTGCCTTATTTGCATAGTACCATATTTTCTGCTGTGTACTCCTGGATCCTCAATCCAGCGCCCTTCTCAAAGGGGWCTTTTCTTCCATGTGTTCCTAAGGAGGCCCGGCAGAGCTGCAGCATGGCTCTACTGCTAACAGAAAGGAACAGGATGTCCTCTCAGGCTGCGCTGTGAAGGCTCTGAAGAGTCCCAGAGGACTCTGCCCTTCTGACTAGATAATGTGGTGACTGTCTGAACTGTGGACAGGAAGGCAAGAGTGAGAATCAGTGTGGGGCCTTTTGTCGAATCCTGGCAGGTTCTCTGATTCTGTTGATATACTCTGTGCTAAGTCACATTATACATCCTTTTGTTTATACGTTTCATTTTGAAATCTTTCCTCTCCCTCATTATGAGTAGGCCTGGAAAAACACGGCTTCCTGCTTTCCAGTGAACTGCTTAGATACAAAGACCCTGTCTGTCAGTGGAGAATAGCTAACAAGTGATTAATTGCTCCAGGTTACATCAGAAATGCAGAGGGAAGTGTAGTGGATATACTCATCTTGTTCTTACTTGTCATTCTAAGAGAGATTGTTAATAATAGTGAGCTACATAAAACTCAGATAATAATTTGGGGAAAAAGCAAACACTGAGGCTAATTTGTAAGTTAGATAATCATTACCTGAGTAGCAAATTTAGCCTTTTTAATGAATAGTGAATACTTGCCAGTGGGTAGTCTGAAGTGTTTTCACAAATCTGTTCGTTTTATATTTACTGTTTTTTTTTTTTTTAAAAGCACTCATATAAGCACTCGCCTACATATGCCAACCAAGTACAGTTGTTTAATTTTGCAAATGGCACATGTTTCATTAAAATCTGCTTGCATGTTGGTGGTTTTGCCCTCTGCCCACTCCTTTGTCTTTTTTTCTTTCTCTCTCATTTTTTTCGATCTCAATATTTTGGAATAATATAAATATACACTGATCAGAAATATATTTGGTGGGGCGGGGGTGCCGGAGGTTTAGCTCAGTGGCGGGGTGCTTGTCTAGTATGCATAAGACCCTGGGTTTGATTCCTGGCACTACAAAAAAAAACCCATTATTTTTATAT